CAGATACGTTCACATTTATAGTTGTTCAATTTTTTGATAAGTTTTTAATATTTTTATTATAAAGTCCTTGTAAAATCTCAGCTGACTAATTTTTATGTCAATAATTATAAAAAAAGTATTCTAATTATATTTTTAATTTATAATTATAATTATAAATATTCATTATAGTTAAATATATTTTTGTACTTTAATAAGATTAGTGGGTTTTATTAAAAGAAAACAACACATTTATTTTATAAAGAATGTCACTAGGCACCTTCCTTTAAGGGCAACTTCTTTCAAGAAATTAAAAGATTATCCTAAGATACAGGGTAGGACACCCCAAATTTTGTTACAGTACATTGAGCATACAATTATACTTGATTGCCAGGGAAATGATGTTTAGTGACTTAATAGGAAACCCTAAAAGGCATTCTCCTCTAATATTACAGGTCGGATTGTATGGACTACAGACACATGAGCACTAATCTCTTTCGGTTAAGGAACATTTTTAATGGGTTAGGCTATAGCATGCCGAGAGAGAGAGAGAGAGAGAGAGAGAGAGAGAGAGAGAGAGAGAGAGAGAGAGCATCATTTAGGCTTTTATCTTAGGCGTTGTTAATGTTGGAAATAGATTAAAAACCTCTTACCTAACCTACCTTGATTTTATCCTATCTCCATAGTTTAGGCTTAAACTAAAAAAAAAATACTTAAACTATGTTATTTTTTTTTTACTTTTAAGTATTTAAACTATTTTCTAATCAAATAAAAATTCTAAATTATTATATATAATTATTTCAAGTATCTAAATTATTTTTTTATCCAAATAAGTTCTTAAACTATGATTTTTTTAAACCCTTAAACTACTTTTTGGTCAAAACAAGTACTTAATGTATATAACGTGTCAACATTTTATTGGTCGAAAAATAATTTTTTAATTGAAAAATAATCTAATTTAAAATAATTAAATATAATGATTTAATGATTTAGTTTAACCAAAAAATAAGTTAAGTACTTAAAAAATGCATAGTTTGAATACTTATTTTTAATTTAAGTCATATATTTAAATATTGAAAATAGTAGTAGTTTATATAGGGCAAATGGCTTAGATAATGTATTGAAAAAAGAATTCCTCAAATAGTCAACTCAAGTAATTATTTCTTAGACTAGGGTGTTTTGAACAGTAACTTGGAGAAGATCCCCATATTATCCTGGGTCTTCACTCAATTCTTTTTTTTTTGCTCTACAAAGTTGAAGATGTGTCCATGAAAAACATGAAATTGCATGGATTACCATGCGTCTTTGCCTTGAGACTGTAGAAAACACTTAATCTAATGGTGACATGTGTCGTCATCTAATTGGTGGATTAAATTTATTGAATTAAATTAAATTTATGACCAAATTGATAGAATGTATAAGTATTGAGGATGCAATGTATAAGTACCAAAATAGTATTCTTTTCAGGTGATTTGTTGTTGAAATTTGTTGGAAACTTAGATTTTGTATATTTGAGTAAAAAATAGATCTTGATATTCAAGGCCAAACAATTTATCATAAAGACAAATGTTTCACTAGTTTTTTTTCTTAGGGATATTTTCCTAACTAGCCAAATTGAGCATGCTATAATCAAGCCCAAAAACTTAAAAGATATATGTTTCATCATGTTAGATTTCATGGGTAAAGAGAAAAAAAGAGTCCTGAATATGTTGACTCTTCATTTTTCTGATCCTTTTATTTTACTTTACAGGAACGTGTTTACTCTTCATTTTTCTCATCCTATTATTCTCTTTTATAGATTATGAAGAAGGAGGAGGAGGATGAGGAGGAGGAGGAGGAGGAGGAGGAGGGGGGGAATTAATTGGGTTAAGTGTCACATCAACAAAAACTAATGGGAGATAACAGCATGGACTAAAATGAAAACGAACTAAAAGTTTGATGAATGTATTGCAAGTTTTAAAAGTTGGGTGATCAAAATGCAAGCACCCTTAAAGTTCGGGGACTATTTATATACTTTACCCTTATTTTTATTAATTTGAGTAAGGTGGTGTTTGTTTTCACTATGCAAGCTCTTCAAACCACTTATGTCTGCATCGCGCAGACCACGCGCAGACATTAGGCTTCGCACACTGTTTGTTTTTTAGAAGACATAAGCTCTTCAAATGTCTGCGCGAGCTCTTCTTGGTGCAGACTTGGTTTTATGTCTTCAAAGGTCTTCAAACCTCTTCAAGAACAATTATAAAATATAGTTATTTATTAAAATAATTTTAAATAATTTAATAAGGTTATTTATTTTAAAATAATTTATTATAAAATATGGATTGATTTATTTTAAAATAATTTATTTAAAATAATTTATTAGTATGGATTGATTTATTTTAAATAATTTATTAGTATGAATTGATTTATTTTAAAATATGGATTGATTTATTTTAAATAATTTATTACTATAGATTGATTTACTTTAAAATATGAGTTGATTTATTATTGTAGTTGTATGTATTGATTTATTTTAAATAATTTATTACTATGGATTGATTTATTTTAAAATATGGATTGATTTATTTTAAATAATTTATTAGTATGGATTCGTTTATTTTAAATAATTTATTTGTATAGATTGATTTATTTTAAAATATGGATTGATTTATTATTGTAGTTGTATGAATTGATTTATTTTAAATAATTTATTAGTATGAATTGATTTATTTTAAAATATGGATTGATTTATTATTGTAGTTGTATGGATTGATTTATTTTAAATAAATTATTAGTATGGATTGATTTATTTTAAAATATGGATTGATTTATTATTGTAGTTGTATTGATTGATTTATTTTAAATAATTTATTAGTATGAATTGATTTATTTTAAAATATGGATTGATTTATTTTAAATAATTTATTAGTATGGATTGATTTATTTTAAATAATTTATTAGTATGGATTGATTTATTTTAAATAATTTATTTGTATAGATTGATTTATTTTAAAATATGGATTGATTTATTATTGTAGTTGTATGGATTGATTTATTTTAAATAATTTATTAGTATGAATTGATTTATTTTAAAATATGGATTGATTTATTTTAAATAATTCATTATTGTAGTTGTATGGATTATTTAAATTTCAGTATTGTCAAACTAAAATTATTTAAATCTCAGTATTGTAAAACTCTTTTAAGTTTAAAAAACCAGTTTATTTATATTTCAGTTCATTTTAGCAGTCTGCAGACGTTAAAAAACAAACAGTCTTCTTCTTGCAGACTGCAGACTTTTGGTCCACCTCTTCTGCTGCAGATGCCTGCATATGTGGTCCGCAGACTGCAAACCTTATACCTATGCAAAAATAAACACCACCTAAGTAAGAGACAATATATATTCAAAAATAATTTCCAATCATTTGACATTGAACGTTCACACCTCTGATATTTTTTGTGCTCGAACTTGGAATCTTAAGAAATAACAATAATTCATTTACCACCGAAATCGCTTAGTTCATTCGATTTTTTGAATTTATGAATTGTGAAATGAGAACTTATTTAATATTTAATTTATGTAAAATTAGTTATATATATAAAAATTATTGAATAAATAATAATTAAAGTCTTACCAACAACTCTCCTTTTCATTGTTGTTCGGAAGTTTAACTTGGTTTCTACTTACCTCCCTCGTCTTTTGCTTCCATTTTATGTTACCCTTTACTTAGTAACTTGTCATTGCTCATCACAAGTAAACAAATCTTAAGTTTTAGCTTTAAGTTTAATGCCTCAGTATTAGAATTTTAATTTATTTTTATGTTCGTTTTCTAATGCACATTTAAAATCATTCTTAATATTTTTTTGATTAATTTGGGATAATTACAAGACAATATTTATTCAAAGTTAACTCTCAATCGTTTGACATTAAACGCTCACACAGTCACACTCATGACATTCTTGATGCAAGAATTTGGGACCTCAAGGAATACCGATAATTCCTTTACTACCGAGGTCGCTTGGTTTATGCTTTAATATTATTTTAAATATATATACAATATAAATTAAACGGAATTAATAATTAAGAGATGATTGTTTTATTTAGAGATTCTAAATTTGAGCATGATATTTACAAAAATATTTAAATATTCATTATCAAAAAATTTAAAAATTTTCAAATAAATATTACATTATAATAATCAATACTAATATATATATATATATATATAAGCATTTGGCATTTGCTTATAAAGATAACCTGTCTGGCGGAAAGATTAATTTTATCCTTGAATTATTACACTACTAGCACATGAAAATCCATTTAAAATTGATTAGAAAAGACAGAATAATTGATTAGCAAAATAAAGTATTTTTAAATTTATTTTAGGATTAGGTTATTTGCTAGCTCGTGTTTATGTAACGAATTTTGTAAAATATATTAAAAAATTAAAATCCGTCATATAATATGAAATAAAATTATATAAAATTTGTTAAATCTTTTAATTTTTAAACATATTTTAGAAAACTTTTTAAATCTGCGTGACAAATTTAACGAGTACAATAACAAATGATTTAAATCTTAAAATTTATTTAAATTATATCAAATTCATTCTCACTTAAATCAACATGCTGATAATATTAAAGAATTTATGTATTAAAATATTTAAAATTATGTTATAAAAAAAAATAAGACCAATAAATTCGAATACATCCAAACACTCGGAGTAGCATATGCGTCAATAAACGTAATTTGTAATAAATAATTTGCACTTGTTTTTATTCTTTTTAGAAATCGGCAATTCCTCGGGGGAATATTGCGTTCAAAGCACATGTTGAAAACTTTAGAATTAGAACTGCACCGACCAAGAGTTTGACCAACCTTGATACAATCACGTCAGCTGGACCCCATTGGAAATGGCGACGTGGCAAGATCAGGAGTGTGGGAACATATAGAAGGCTCTAATGGAGAAGAAGATAGGATTGTGTTTTGGAACAATAATGGGTTGGAGATTCATAAATATACTTTTATGCTACAAAATACAGACCCTGTCAGTGTTCTAATCTCTGCTGGAAACCCTACTGTTGGAGAAAGGAAGAAGATTGAAGAGTCTTGTTAGATCCAATGGAGTATGAGAGAATAGACACAGCTCAGGTGCCCTACTTTTCTCTTCTTCTTCCTTGAGCTTTACCATGTTGATGGGAAGTGGGAACTTTAGTGAAAAAGAGTTGGTTTTCGATGGTGACTGGTGTTTCTTCTGATCTGGGTTTCAAACAAATTTCAAATTTTTCTGTAGTTTTTGATGTTCTTGTTTTAATTGAGTTGAAAAGTGAGGGAAAAGAGTTCTCCTTTTACCAAAAATTTGAAGCTTTTTTTTTTTTACCTTTTAAGTCACATTTTCTTTTAATTATTGCAGAGTGGTATTTCACCAAGGAAATTAAGAATGAAGCTGATGGGACCTCATCATCACAGAAAAAAAGATGGATCAAACAACGATTCTTCAAGGACTTCACCTTCTAGAGTTGATGATGGTGAGTTTGTCAACAGTCTGTTAGGCTCTAAAACTGGGGATTTTGATGAGGAAGGTTTGTTACTTTCTCTCATTTCTTCATTATTACTTGCAGTTAAATGCCTGTAAAATTTTAATCTTGGTAAAAACATTGCTAATCCTGAAGCTCCCCATGGCCTGCAAATTAGAGATAGTTTAACATTTCTTTTGAAACTGGTTTAGGGTTTCATCTAAATCTGCAGGCTGACTTGCATATATTCAATTGAATTGCAGTTCCCAGTTTAGATGTTGCACCTATGTTGGATTCCAGCTTAAATGATCAAATTTGTAGCCAAAATATCGAGACAGGTCATGCTAAATTGCAGCAATTTTCGAAGACTGATAACGGGAACTCGAGTGCAATTCATCCGATGAGGTCTTTGGAAGACGAAAATCTTGATTATGATAGCAATGCTAGTTCATCAAGCTTTGAGTTTCATAAAGGGGAGAGAGTAGTACACAATTCCATGAGGTCGTACTCCAGACCTATGGCATCGAAGTGGAATGATGCAGAGAAATGGATCATGAACAGGCAAAACGTGCAAGCCTCCTATGCTAAGAAGAATGCATTTCATAACCAAGCTAATCGGTTTCCCATGTCTAATACAGCAAGGGTTGCTCCCGACTCTGCAAATTATGATCTGAGGTCGACTGTTAATCGTACAGCTGACGCTAAGCGGTTCGATTTCTATCAGTCTTCTGTGCAGGTGCCGTTCGAGAAGTTCTCTTTTAATCCCTCTGCACCTCATCCTAGTAAGGATTTAATCGAAGTGGGTCAAATGGATTTATCTTGTACAAAAGGTTCTGAAGAAGATACAACAGGTAAATTTGCATGATGAACTGGTGTATATTTTCATAGACTGCATCTTTAGTGATACACTGAGTGCATTCAGATTGATTATATACTCTAATGCATCGTTTGATCACTGTAATGATTGCTCATGTGCAACGAGTTGAGCCATGGGGCTGGCAGACTGTTGCTTCGACTTTTCTGGTCTCGAAATGGATACTCTATGTTGATCATCGTTCTTTTATTTAATCTTTATCTCACACCTTATGATATGGCCTTGCAGTTGTTCCTGCAATACAATCGGTTTGTATGAGAGATATGGGAACAGAAATGACCCCTGTTACTAGTCAAGAGCCTTCTCGGACTGCTACACCTGAAGGGGCAACAACCCCGCTCCGGAGTCCAACATCTTCAATCCCATCTACTCCTCGTGGAGGAGCACCAACATCAATGCCATTGGATGATGAGTCACAGCATCCTCCTGATAACGGCAAAAAGGAATTGTCGGAGCAAGAAATGAAGCTCAAGACAAGACGAGAGATTGTAGCCCTCGGCGTGCAGCTTGGCAAGATGAATATCACTGCTTGGGCTAACAAAGACGACAAGGAGAACAATACTACTTCAGTTGATGCCACTCATATGAAGGAGCTTGGGCAGATGGAATATGAACAACGAGCAGCTGCATGGGAGGAAGCTGAAAAGTCTAAACATACTGCAAGGTTCTGATATGATTCTATACTCTACGAAACTATGCCATGTTTTATCATATGCTCGTAAAACGTTCTGCTAAATGCATATGTCGATTTCTCAGATATAAGCGTGAAGAGATCGAAATTCAAGCGTGGGAGAGTCAGCGGAGAGCAAAACTAGAAGCAGAGATGCGGAGAATCGAGGTATCGAAAATCCCTCTGGTCATCATATACTAGAAAATAACTCACATCATCAACATTTAAACATGACATGTATGCTGAGCAATAAGCACTGTGTATAATTATGTCCAACTTTTTTTCAGTCAAAAGCAGAGCAAATGAGAGCGCAAGCTGAAGCAAAGATGGTAAAGAAGATTGCTATGGCTAAGCAAAGATCGGAAGAAAAACGAGCAGCGGCTGAAGCTAGAAGAAACCGAGACGCGGAAAGGACTTCTGCACAAGTGGAATACATTCGCCGAACCGGAAGAATGCCATCATCCCATTACATGTGCTGCGGATGGTAAACAATGAGTTATAAACAATGACTAAACACCAACTTCTATCACTCTTCAACCAGCAGCTAACCATCTAAGTAGCACCCAGTTGGGCTCATAAGTAGATAAAATCAATGGTTCATAAATTTATGTATTAGGGCTCATCGCAGTGGCAAAAACAATGTTTTTATTTATAATTTAGCCTTAGAATTATACTACTTTATAGAACTAAGGATTTAATACTTAAACTATCAGTTTTGGTTCATTTTAATATCTAAACTTATAATTTTTTAAAATCATAGCTAACGTTTATTTTTTGTTTCATCTTGATACTCATTTAAAATTTAACGTTATGTTTTGAAAACAATTGAAAATTTAGGTACTAAAGTTTGAGCCTTGCTTTTTTAATCCAGGAACCCCAAGCTCGATTCCCTTGGGCATTATTTAAGTGACAAAAATTTTCTTTATAGAGGGTGACACATTGATTGGTGAGAAAAGTATATTAAATTAAAAGTAAGTTAAAATTAATTTAATTGTCCAATCGGATGGTGACACATGTCATTATACATTAAAGTTATACCAACAACTTTTTTATTAAATGATACCATTTGATTTGAGGGTTAAGTTTATTTTAATAATTAAAATTAAGACCAAATTAATAGAATACATAAGTAACAATGACCAAATGTATAATTATACCAAAAACATCTTCGTTAAATATTAAAGGTGTAACCCCCCAGACCGATGCAGGTAGCCCGATCCGATCCAGGAAGTCACATTAGGGCCACCGGAGCGACCCACCGTAAAAATAGCGGAAATTTTAAAACTTTTTATCAGAACATGTAAACTTATAAAATCATTTGTCACTATTTAAAAATAAAACATATTTCCAAACTCGTATATAAATCAAAATACAATTACATGCCCCCTAATCACATGTACCATACTCTGCTACAACACCGGAAGAACTCCCTTACTGAAGTCGATAGATGCACTGGTACAATTCTTTTAACCTGAAAAGGGGAGTAATAGAGTGAGCTTTGGCAAGCTCAGTAATACAGAACTACCAGATGATGCTGAAAAACGTGCAGATACAGATAAACATATTTTCCTTATTGGTTCAGATATTTACATATTTTTATGTTGAGCAGAGATCCTACTGATATTTCAGGTGGTAACGGACAATCAGCTTTCGTTTCAGAGAAATATTTCGGATGACTGAGTTCAGGAGATCAGAATAGGTTTTCTAGTGTGTTCCCAAAAATCATGTAACTTTTCAGATCTTTTTTTTTAAAACATATATATATATATATACCCCCATCCAACAAGTCCAAGTTGTGTAGGTTCCCCAGAACCATACACCCACCATCAAGTCCAGTTGGCCCTGAGCACACAGCCGAGGAACCGGTAAATAAGGCCCTGAGCACACAGCCGAGGAGCCTCCAGGTATACTTCCTCCAACATTACCCCCCAAGTAAGATATGTCCATCCGTAAACGGATATATCAAAAATCAAAACATAAATCAGGTCAAGTATCATATCAGAAATCAGGTCAAGTAACAGATCAGAATCCAAGTCAAGTATCAAATCAGAAATCAAATCGAAAATCAGGTAAAATATTCATGTGAGTAGGGAACACACCAGAATTTACAGATATTATTCAGAGGTATTGGATAATCTTAACAGGTAGAGAAACATGAATATTCAGTATACCGATAGGATATCAGAATTTAGAATCACTATTTGAAAGAGTTCATTAACTGACAGAATCATCAGTTATTCAGAATGTGAATTATCAGGATATTATCTTATTCGGACAGTTTTCAGAAGCTGTACGTAATCAGAAGGGTATTCAGAATCCTTTACATCCATGTCGATTGATCGGATAATCGAACAACTTGAGAACGAAGATTCAGAACCTTAACAATCTATGTCGACTGGTCAATTCATTTTCCTTCTAGGGTATTTACTCTTTAATACCACAAATTCTTGTCCGTAGACCATTTTCGGAATTATCGCTGAATAAATCTTCCAATGACTTTATTTCATTTCCACGCTTCCACAATATCATGAAATGTTGACGTACTTGATTAATTTGTTCATAACCCATTGTAATTGTACACTACGTAAACTCATCAGAGTTTCCAGACTTATCCAAATCACTTACTAAATCCTCAGTCATTGAGGTTACCTATTTCATTTAGCAGTCATATCCATTCCAGTTACTTCAGAATTTTCCAGAGTAATTCAAACGTTCCTGAATTTCAGATACATGTACTTCCATCCCATTCAATTTGGTCTTCGTGGTTGATTGTTGAACAAACGTCCAATTCTTAGTACTGAATACGATCTAGATCTGAGCTGAACTGAATACTTCCAAGATTCGTCATCGAGCCAAACTTGAGAAGACGAACATATGTTCCAGTAATATCTATGCCATTCAGGTATTGACATAGCTTTAGGGTTGATCTACTCACTTAAATTATTTTCCATTACCTTTAAAGGTAGTCCAATACCTATGCTTACTTGGATTCCTTAATTAATCCAAGACATTTACTTAATTTAGGCCATAAGGGTATTTTGGTAATTTTGATGTTCAGTTTTATTCCATTCATTTCAGAACTCGAGGATATTCAATCATTCCTGAGCTTGGTGATATTCTTGGGTCATTTCCATTACAGGGGTATTTTGGTCATTTTACAGATCTACGGTATTTCAATCTTTTTCTTCCATCCGATCTTATTATTTAATTCAATCTTATCATTTACTTCAGTCCTTTCGAACAATTCTGACAGCAGAATACCCCCGATAAATTACTCTTCCAGTATTTACTCATTATTCGAATATTTTCAGGTCAAGTGTCTTCTCAGACTTTACAAACGGAATATCATAAATTTTCCTGCACTAAGTCGGGATCTTAACAATTAAATCCGTACTTAATCGAGTTAAGTACGAATCCTCTAAGTATTTTCTCATTCAGAGTCATCTCAGACTATTCTACCTCTTAAGGCATTTCCGTAATTTCTTAGCCAGATAAGTTCGATATTAGCTCTTAACGAAAATAATATAATTTAGAGATCCTATGATTAATTGCTTTCTTGAACAATCTCTGATCTTGAAATAATTCCCTTAACACACTTCTAGTATCTTGCATAAACCTTCTTGGGGTTAAAAACCGGTTCTCCATAATTTCCAAGTAAAACTAACATTTCTTATGCACATCAATAGTTTTAGCAGATCAATAATTCTTTTCAGATTTATTAATCCACTTCCAGAGACAATTCTTATCATTTTCCAACATAAGGGTAATTTCGTAATTTTCCCTAATCGAAATATTCTCTTAATTTATCATCTAAGTACCTTTAATGAGATAAATTATAATCTACAATCCATGGTTAATTCTTTTATTACTTAATTCCAGAACTTGTAATTTAATTCAAACCGTCCTCCAATTTCTTATAATAGTCATCTGAGCCATATTCAGTTATCTACTTTCTACCGTATTCGTACCTAGTGTAGATCTTCATTAATTACACATATGAGACCAAACATTTCCATTCATGCATTTATCAATACCAACATGTTCCATAAAGCATAAAGAGGTAGTAAAGTATTACCTCGATTTCCGTGCAATACTGATCGACCATAAAAATTCCATTCGAACGCCTTTGATCTTCAATTCAACTTCCAATAATTCCTCAGATACATATCAACATAAATTATATCAGAAACGGAGCTTAATTACGATAAACTGATCGAATCGGGTGATAAATCAGTGAAAGACGGCTTACCGAGTTCGAATTTGGCGAAACGGACTTCGGATTCGGATTCAGGACGTCGATAGCATAAAATATGACTTTTCGGAAATTTGGAATTTTCGGTCAAAATCAAAGTCAACGGGTTTGACTGACAATTTTGAGGCCTTCGGGTTCGAATTTTGAAAAACGGACAGCGGAATCGGATTTGGAACGTCGAAAAATGTCAGGATAGGTATACTCGGTCGAAGTCAAAGGTCGTTTAATGCCCGATCAAAGCCAGTCAAAGTTTTGGTCAACAGTGGTCAACTCCGGTCAACGGGTCAACGGCCAACGGTCAACGGGTCGGGTCAACGGGTCGGGTCGGGTTGTGAACGGTCAAACCGGTCAAAACAGTTCTAAAACCGGTCAAACCGGTCACTTTTCCCTTCCCCACGCGCAGTGGCGGCGCGTGGGGGCGCGTAAACAGTGATAAAATCCCGGAAAAATTTCTAAAAATTATTTTGAGCGATTTCGAGATACTTACAAAGCTCGGTTCACAATTTTGAACGGCGGAGAGCTCGATTTCAACAAATCGGGAAGTTTGACCGGTTAACCTCCCAACGCGCCGCCGCCGCCGGAGAAAAAGGAGAACACCGGTGGACTCGGAACGGCACAAGGAACACGATGGTGCGGGAGGTGTCGTAAACGGATGACCCGATCGTTGTGAATCAATGAAAAACCAACTAAAACCGAGTTATTACCGACGATACTTCCGACTGAAATTCACGACGAACGGCGATGATTCACGATAAAAGGTTTGAGGGGTTTTGTTCCTCGGTTGACAACGAACACGATGGTTGTTTCGGTTTGTCGTTTGGAGGTCGGACGGCGAGTAGATCGGAGTTGGAAGTAGGGAGAACGGGAGAGGAAAACTGGAAAATTTTCCAGAAACATACGGGAGTCTGGGGGGTTTATAACATCTCATAATTAAAAATGGCTAAACCAAGAGTTTAGCCACTGAACTTCCTGCACTTCTTAAAACAGTCTGTCAACTTTGAAATCTTACAATTTAATCCCTTATTTCTTTCAAAATACAAAATTAAATCCACCAATTTATATTTTCTTAAATTTAGCCCCTAAATTGGGGTGTTACAATTCTCCCCTCCTTAAAAAAATTTCGTCCTCGAAATTCATTCATGTCACATAATTGCATAAATGAAACTTCCATCAGTTCTTTCAAATCTATCAATAGTTTTTATAAAAGTACGATTCCTCCACTTATCTTTAACCAGTTGAGCATACATTCTTATCATAAATTTTCCTTATTTCAAT